GGAGCTCTGTTATACACTCAGACACATTACTGGGAGTATTATTGCTGTAGAGCTCTGTTATACACTCAGACACATTACTGGGAGTTTTATTGCTGTGGAGCTCTGTTATACACTCAGACACATTACTGGGAGTATTATTGCTGTGGAGCTCTGTTATACACTCAGACACATTACTGGGAGTATTATTACTGTAGAGCTCTGTTATACACTCAGACACATTACTGGGAGTATTATTGCTGTGGAGGTCTGTTATACACTCAGACACATTACTGGGAGTATTATTGCTGTGGAGCTCTGTTATACACTCAGATACATTACTGGGAGTATTATTGCTGTAGAGATCTGTTATACACTCAGACACATTACTGGGAGTATTATTGCTGTGGAGCTCTGTTATACACTCAGACACATTACTGGGAGTATTATTGCTGTGGAGCTCTGTTATACACTCAGACACATTACTGGGAGTATTATTGCTGTGGAGCTCTGTTATACACTCAGACATATTACTGGGAGTATTATTGCTGTGGAGCTCTGTTATACAGACACATTACTGGGAGTATTATTGCTGTGGAGCTCTGTTATACACTCAGACACATTATTGGGAGTATTATTGCTGTGGGGCTCTGTTATACACTCAGACACATTACTGGGAGTATTATTGCTGTGGAGCTCTGTTATACACTCAGACACATTACTGGGAGTATTATTGCTGTGGGCTCTGTTATACACTCAGACACATTACTGGGAGTATTATTGCTGTGGAGCTCTGTTATACACTCAGACATTACTGGGAGTATTATTGCTGTGGAGCTCTGTTATACACTCAGACACATTACTGGGAGTATTATTACTGTGGAGCTCTGTTATACTCTCAGACACATTACTGGGATTATTATTGCTGTGGAGCTCTGTTATACACTCAGACACATTACTGGGATTATTATTGCTGTGGAGCTCTGTTATACACTCAGACACATTACTGGGAGTATTATTGCTGTGGAGCTCTGTTATACACTCAGATACATTACTGGGATTATTATTGCTGTGGAGCTCTGTTATACACTCAGACACATTACTGGGAGTATTATAGCTGTGGAGCTCTGTTATACACTCAGACACATTACTGGGAGTATTAGTGCTGTGGAGCTCTGTTATACACTCAGACACATTACTGGGAGTATTATTGCTGTGGAGCTCTGTTATACACTCAGACACATTACTGGGAGTATTATCGCTGTGGAGCTCTGTTATACACTCAGACACATTACTGGGAGTATTATTGCTGTGTGGCTCTGTTATACACTAAGACACATTACTGGGAGTATTATTGCTGTGTGGCTCTGTTATACACTAAGACACATTACTGGGAGTATTATTGCTGTGGAACTCTGTTATACACTCAGACACATTACTGGGAGTATTATTGCTGTGGAGCTCTGTTATACACTCAGACACATTACTGGGAGTATTATTGCTGTGGAGCTCTGTTATACACTCAGACACATTACTGGGAATATTATTGCTGTGGAGCTCTGTTATACACTCAGACACATTACTGGGTGTATTATCACTGTGGAGCTCTGTTATACACTCAGATACATTACTGGGCGTATTATTGCTGTGAAGCTCTGTTATACACTCAGACACATTACTGGGAGTATTATTGCTGTGGGGCTCTGTTATACACTCAGACACATTACTGGGAGTATTATTGCTGTGGAGCTCTGTTATACACTCAGACACATTACTGGGAGTATTATTGCTGTGGATCTCTGTTATACACTCAGGCACATTGCTGGGGGTATTATTGCTGTGGAGCTCCGTTATACACTCAGACACATTACTGGGAGTATTATTGCTGTGGAGCTCTGTTATTCACTCAGACACATTACTGGGAGTATTATTGCTGTGGAGCTCTGTTATACACTCAGACACATTACTGGGAGTATTATTGCTGTGGAGCTCTGTTATACACTCAGACACATTACTGGGAGTATTATCGCTGTGGAGCTCTGTTATACACTCAGACACATTACTGGGAGTATTATCGCTGTGGAGCTCTGTTATACACTCAGACACATTACTGGGAGTATTATTGCTGTGGAGTTCTGTTATACACTCAGATACATTACTGGGAGTATTATCGCTGTGGAGCTCTGTTATACACTCAGATACATTACTGGGAGTATTATTGCTGTAAAGATCTGTTATACACTCAGACACACAAACAATATGGAGCTCCTAGAAAAGAGGGACATTAGGGTAGAAAAGAGGGACAGAGGGATTTGGGTCCAATGTAGGGACTGTCCCTCCTAAATAGGGACACTTGGGAGATGTGCTATGAATAATTCACAGTTTGGGGATTAACCCGGTTCCCTGGTCAGTCCTCCTCGATTCCTATTGTCAGGGTTTTTCACTTAAATACGTATTGTTGGGAATTCAAAGAAAATTACAGACCCAAATATCCCCAACTGAAAGCATTGCTAAGTTGGCGATTGTTTCCAGTTCGGTCACGTTGGCGTCAAACTGTGCAATTCACTTTGCATTCCTGACAATTCACACTTACTAGTTAATAACGCTCTAAGTGTATAAACTCCCAATTTAGTAAATAAACATATGCCGTTTGCGTATTGGCTACACATTGAAGACATTGATTTAACTCCCATGGTAGAAAGAGGCAAATTCTCGGCCGCTGAGTCGTACACACACTGTCATGCAGAGTACTCTTTGACTTTGATATGGACTGTGCTTTTTGGCTTTTTTCCCTACAACATCCAGTTGGACTTGGCAGTGCTCCATAGTATTAAATCTGAACATAGCGAGGACCCAGCTGGGATAACTACAGAATGGAAATGGAGATGCAGGCACTATAGTGATTCCCTGACTTAATAATCAGTGTATTTTTTATGTTGTTGGTGCAGAGACAGATTACATGCAATGTTGGCTGGAGTGACTTGGACCTCTGGATTCCTGCTGGATATTATAAAGTTTGTCCAGCGGGCCTGTAACAAACAATGTAAACCCATCAGCAGGGACGGATAAACTGTCCCACAGAGACTGAGGGCAAAAGTACACTTCCTTATAATCTGTTTACACGAACAATGATTTAAAGGGACAAGGCAGGCACCTGAACTGCGTCGACAGATTTCATCATGACAAAAATATTGCAGATTTTATTGTTTCCAAAAAAACAGGCATATTGGTACTGGAAATTGGAGAATAAAGCACAAGAATTTCCATCAGGTTAAAGGGTTACTCAAACCACCATGACCACTTATGTTTTTAGAAGATGTCATGGTGTGGGTCTGTATCGGCAGTGTTTCTGCACATAAATAGTTTCAGTTTTGTGCCAGGGGCATGTCGCACACATGTGACTTAGGAAGCGGCTGTCTAATGTTAATCCTGTGCAAAATGTATGTATTTTATCAGCACGACCAGTGCACTGGCAACAGGTTTATCGAGATTCTCCTCTGCAGAGCCTGCAAGCAGATACATTTGTCTTCCCTCTCTCTTCCTCCTACAGTAAGTTCTGCCCCCCACCATCCTATACACTCGCACACAGGATAAGAGAGAAGCCCCATTGGACCCCTGGGAAAGATCCACTCAGCTCTCCCAAAGGTAGGGAGGCTGGGTGGATTAAAATGAAAAATGTAAATTTGTGAGTGTGTGAGAAAATGTGTGTATGTGTGTGTGTGTGTATGTCTCTGTCAATGTGTGTGCATACCTCTGTCAGTGTGTGTGTGTGTGTGTCTATCAGAGTGTGTATGTGTGTCTGTTTATGGCCCCCTACGATCACATTATAGGCTTGTCCTGACTCCATAGCTGTGATTATCAATCATTATGATCCTAGCTAAGCCAATGCTTTCCCATAGGAAAGCATTGGGAGGATATTGCGCATGATCTCTATGCGTAACATTCAGCGCTTGCATGCAGAGAATGGAGATGCCAAACATAGATGCTTATTTTAATAAATAAATAAACCGGGAGGGGGGAAAGGTAAGTATTTGTAGACTTTGAAAGGTAGGGCGGGTGGAAAGTAGCAGTGCCCTCGTCCGTGCTGTCTCTCTGCTCCGTCCCGCCTGTTAGTGTCGATGGCATAATAAGGCTTTTGTCGTTTAGGCGTTGTTCTTGCCCTCCGATCTGTTATTTAAGTCCTTGGATAGCCAGTTTGTCCAGTGGTACCATATTCCATGATGTGTTTGGGCTCTCCCTGCGGATGTGAGAATGAGCTCCTCAATCCCTCTCAATCTCCTCCACTCTATCTATCCATTCTCTAGTGGAGGTGCCGTCTTATGTTTCCAGTGGCATGGTATGAGGCTGCGCGCCGCATTGATGAAGTTGGGTATCACAGTCTATTTCGTGATTGGCATAGGGGTGATGTGCAGTAGATAGGACTCCAGAATGAGGTCTATGCCTGCGTCCGTTATCGTTGAAGTGATCTTGTGTATCCCAAAGGTGCTGGATCTTTCGGCAACTCCACCAAATGTGGAATAGCTTGCCCAGTTCTTGCTCACACCTCCAGCATTCTGGGTCGCAATTGAGACCCATGTTGGATAGCCGATCTGGGATTTTATACCAATGGGACACAATCTTGTAACCTGATTCCTGATATTTAGTGCTAATGGAGGACTTGTGTGTGAATACAAATACATTGGTCCATTGTTCGTCTGTCAGAGGGTGTCCTTCTCCCAGTATTTAGTGAAGTGCGGGAACTGGTTCCCCTTTGGGTGTATTGTAGCATTTGGTTAAGTGGTGAGATGGCGCGTGTCGGTAGGACCTCCTCATTGCATAATGTTTCTATGTGGTTAATTGTCTGTTCGCCACGTCCAGGTGTGGGATGGACTTGACGTGCCTCAATAGTTGGTGGTATCGAAATTGAGTTAAAAAGCCTGAGGGGCTAGGTGCCAGTAAGTCTGCTAGAGGTGTAACTCTCCCTCCCGAATATACGTCCTTAAGTCTGCATTGCAGAGGTAAGTCCAGGGGGGTCAGGTATCGCAGGACACCAATGACGATAGTGCTGTCTGCGATGCTAGTTTTCTCCTTGACTGTATGGAGAAAACTAGCATCGCAGACAGCACTATCGTCATTGGTGTCCTGCGATTGATTGGCCCTTTGGTCCTCCAAGGATCTGCGGTAACGCCGTCAAGGGAGCTGCATTCTATTGCAATTCAGAGTTTCTCGGGGGGAAGAGTCTTTGGCTCGTGTTAGGGTGGCATAGCTCAGTCTCGCCTGTTGTCCATGCCAAACGTTTTGAATGAAAGATTTGCGGATCGAGGAAAAGAACCCCCTGAGTGTATCTATTGGTATGGTCTGAAGGAGGTACAAAATCTAGGTAAGGCATTTTAAGGACGCTTATCCTTCCTAGCCATGTGATGTGAGGTAGTGTCCACATTTGTACATCTCTTTGCACTCTCTCTAGAAGTGGAGTGAAGTTGAGATGGAACAGATCCGATAGTTTTGCTGACATCCATATTCCCAGTCGCACCAGCGGAAGGGGAACGTGGTGTGTATTGCTCGTGTCAAGGTTTGGTTATATGCTATGTTTAGGATTTCCAGTTTTCTGTCGTTTATCTTTAGGTTGGACAGTAGGTAGTACGTTTCAAATTCTTGCATAATCTCAGTGATGTTTGTGGGTTCATGACCGAAAAAAGGAGGTCGTCCGCGTAAGCTGTTATTTAACTTTCTCCCCATGTTCCTTTTATGCCCTCCACCCGAGTGTTGCTTCTTATTACGTTGATGAATGGTTCCAGGCTGATGACAAATAGTAGTGGTGACAAGGGGCATCCTTGGCAGGTTCCGTTTCATATTTCGAACGGTTGGGAGAGGATTCCATTGATACCCTTGCTGCCGGTTTAGAGTAGAGGGCCTGTATCCATTATAGCATGTGGGGTGCGAATTCCACCTCTCGGAGCATCGTCATGAGGAAGGACCAATCCACCCTGTCGAAGGCCTTCTCAACATCCGTGGATATTAATAGTAAGGGAGTTGAGTGTGTCTTGGCTGAGGGTACTTGGTTGATCACTTTCACCATGTTGTCACGAGCCTCCCGTCCTCTGCCAAATCCCACCTGATCCGGGTGTATGATTTTCGTTGGAAGGGTTGGATGCGGAGAGACAGTATGTTCGTGAAGAGTTTGAGGTTGGCGTTGAACAGGGAGATCGGTCTATAGCTGGCACATGCCGTGGGGTCCTTTCCTTCCTTCGGCAGCACTACTATGTGGGCCATCAGCATGTCAGGTTCCAATGATCCCCCATTGCTGATTGAGTTTGAGATCTCTTGAGTGTGTAGTTTCTTCTGGTGTGACCCGTTTTTGATCAGGTAGCTTGCTTTTTTTTTATTCATTATCTGACATATTGAATAGAAAAACTATGGAAAAAATGGTTGGAGTAACCTTGTAAATCGATAACAGTGGGCAATAGCCTAGTTTTGCTTTGAAAAGCATTTGCAGCCTTTACTCATAGCCTGAACAGCGTCACTCACTCCACCTTGCAACTTACAGTCAACTGTGCTTTTTTTTTTTTTTTTACTCAAGGCTATTTTCTAGATTAATATTGCTTTTATTTCCAAAGAATCCACACCTGAGCGACTCGATCCATCCACGATTTACCTGTAGAGTTTTATTCATTGAGTAAGAGTCCCTAAGTAAATCCCAGATGGATCAAGAGAAAGTTCGCTTGTAAAAACATAGGTTTGTAATGGCAGGAGTTTCACAGAATATGTAGCCAATAATAAAAAAAATTTTTTAAAAACCTTGAGTGCTACTAATGTAAATTGTATTTAAACGTATTCAGAGCCCGACAACCCTTTGTTCATGTTGATTAAGTATCAGAATACATAAACCATGTTACAAAAAATGTCTCTGTAACAGCTGACTCGCCTTAGCTTTACTAGAAACAATGGCATTTCCTGTGGGCCCTAATTTTGGAAGGTTTTAAATCAAAGCAAAATATTCCAGCAGCTCACATCAAAAAGAATGGTTTGTGAAACATTAAATGTCACACATTTTACATATAGTTAATCATAACCCCACAGTATACCATTCGTATAACCTCTAAGGACAGAGACGGACAGATGACTTCCTGTTTGTACAATTTAACATTCGAGAAGAAACTGCTGTAAAATATTTTCTTCTATTAAAATCCTAAAAGAAGAGCACATATTGAATGCAAAGTTTAGTTTTTTTTTCTTTTTCTAGTTTACAAAACATGAACCAAAATGACGAAGTAAAATGCCAATGTCTGCCTGTACCCTGGATCTGCTGCGATAACATATATAACAAGCTAATTGAGTTGAATGTCCTAGGAGTGGGTTCCGTTTGAGCCAAAAGCCCCTCTGAAGTCCATGGGAAACAATTAGTGACTTGCCCATTAGACAACTCCTACGCTTTGTTGTATAATTAGTGCTGGTATTCCGACCTCAATTTCTCAAAAGACCAAGGGGGCCAACGTCCAAGTGAAAAGCGTAATTGTTCAACAGTCAAGGACGTAAATTTAAGGCACATAGAAAAAGCACAGTCAGCAGTGATTCGAGGGCCCCAGCTACAAAGATTTACAAAGTAATAGAACAGAACACTGAATCACTTCTTCACAGACACACTGGCAAGGCCTTGTTTATGGCAACAGTGATGAAGCATTGCACACTGTTAGATTCACCATGTTTTCTGGACACTTAGCATGTCTCCATGTTGTTAGGCAGTGTTTGAAAAGTTTCCCTCTGCATTGTGGATTATTGATACGGTACAGAGAGTAAATGAAAACATGAATCAAGCTAAAATGCCAAGGAAACAGACTTGAGTAGTTTAGTTGTGTCCTGCAGCATATGATTCCTACATACAGTATTTTCATGCATGGGTACATTAGCTGTATCATAAGGGAGGACTGTGATCAATTAGTACCATGTAGCAATGTTGTTTTATCAATTTACTCAATGCTTTCCTATGGACGTTCAGTGTGCTCCTCTAGCGGCTGTCAGTGAGACAGCCACTAGAGGCTGGATTAACCCTCAGTGAAACACAGCAGTTTCTCTGAAACTGCTATGTTTTCAGCTGCAGGGTTAAAACTAGAGGGACCCTGACACCCAGACAACTTCATTGAGCTGATGTGATCTGGTTGTCTGTAGTGGTCCTTTAAAGGACCACTATAGTGCCAGGAAAACATACTCGTTTTCCTGGCACTATAGTGCCCTGAGGGTGCCCCCACCCTCAGGGACCCCCTCCCGCCCGGCTCTGGAAAGGGGAAAAGGGGTAAAACTTACCTTTTTCCAGCGCTGGGCGGAGAGCTCTCCTCCTCCGATCCTCCTCTTCTCCTCCCCGTCGGCTGTATGCGCACGCGCGGCAAGAGCTGCGCGCGCATTCAGCCGGTCACATAGGAAAGCATTCATAATGCTTTCCTATGGACGCTGGCGTGCTCTCACTGTGAAAATCACAGTGAGAAGCACGCAAGCGCCTCTAGCGGCTGTCAATGAGACAGCCGCTAGAGGAAATAGGGGAAGGCTTAACCCATTCAGAAACATAGCAGTTTCTCTGAAACTGCTATGTTTATGAAAAAATGGGTTAACCCTAGCTGGACCTGGCACCCAGACCACTTCATTAAGCTGAAGTGGTCTGGGTGCCTAGAGTGGTCCTTTAAGTGTGTGTGCACTGGCGTACATACAGGGGTCACAGCCCTGTAACCTCTGCGACCAGGTGCCCACCTTCATGTGTTGCGGGGGGGGGCCACGGATCAATTTTCGCACCGGGGCCCCATGGGTCATGTGTACGCCACTGGATGTACCCCAAGGTCTTGGGGTAAAGACATAATAGCTGTTCTCTGGGGGACCAACATATAAAAAACTCGGTTCATTCAGTTCAGCCGTTCGGGAGATATGGGACTTAGAAGTTTTGACTGACTGCACGGGCAAAGTAGCCGAAAACAGTTCCATGAATTCTGGCCCTGCAGTCAGTCTTAGGTCACATGAAAAACCTCCCGAACGGCCGGCCATCCAGCTACCATCCTTGGTTCGCTTGATTCCCCATACGTTAGTAAGTCTTTCTACCGAACGCCCGGTCGTTCGGTAGTTTGGAAGGGGGTTTACCGAAGGTCTGGAGGTTTCAGCGGTGTTCGCCTGTTTGAGTGTCCATTTTCAGTTCCAGACACTCAACGGCAAACACCGCTGTTCGGGAGCTAAAATGGCCGTGAACACGTGTAAGTCCCGAAATGGCGGCGAGACATGCCGTTCGTGCAGAACTTCTGTCGAACGTAATCCAGCCAGCACGGGGTACAGTCTGTATAATGGGCAAAAGGGTGGTCTGCATTCGGTAGTTTTACTTACCGAATGCCATAGGGAACATTACTATTAAACAAATGAATACAAAGAGTCAATTTACATTATAAGAGGGGCATTTCTTCACACTGCTCCCCTATAAGTCCATAGGTCAGCATACCCGCCAAGACCCTGATGGGTTAGCTTGGGGATGTCCGAGGAAAAACAAAGAAACAGTCCAGGTCAATTCCGTTTGGCGGGACAAACTGTCTGCATATACCATTTTGTTTGCCCGGACGATACTGCATGGTGAAGTTGTACGGTTGAAGGGCTAGGCTCCACCGTAAAAGTCTAGGGTTGTCGCCAGCCACCCGGTTTAACCATACCAACGGGTTGTGGTCGGTCATCAGAGTAAACGGCCGGCCGTACAAATAAGGTTGGAGTTTCTTAAGGGCCCACACCAGGGCTAGGCACTCCTTCTCCACGGTGGCATAGCTGACCTCCCGGGGCAAAAGTTTATGGCTTAGATAGGCCACCGGGTGTTCCATGCCGTCGTCTTCCACCTGGCTTAACACGGCTCCCAGCCCAAACATGGAGGCATCTGTGTGGACAAGAAATTGTTTAGAGTAGTCGGGTGCTGCCAACACAGGAGCCTCACTCAATGCTGCTTTCAGTTTCTGGAAGGCTGCCGCGCACTCTGGGGTCCAGGTAACCTGTTTGGAAAGGGCCTTTTTGGTGAGGTCAGTGAGGGGTTTGGCTATAGTCGGGGACAAATTTCCGGTAATAACGGCTGTTCCTAAGAAGGCTAAGACCTGGGTCTTAGTCCGAGGTTGGGGTCAATTAGCTATGGCCTCTATTTTG